TGCTGCCAGCATGGGAATAACGTGGGGGAGCAGGGAGGGAGTTTGGGGAGCCAGGAATGGTGCAGGGAGCTGGGGTGGGCAGGGAGGGATGCTCCAGGGCAAACAAAAGGAGGGATATGAGCCTGGCTGTCCCCTGAGCAGCCCTGAGGAGGAGGATTTGGCTAAAACACGGAGCAGGGGGGTGGGAGGGACAGGAAAGGAGGGACACAGGGTCACAGGACAGGGACGGGGGAGTGGCAGCTGTTGGAGGACATGAAGGAGTGGCAGAGAGATTCAGGAGATGGATCACAGCATGGCTGGGGTTGGAGGGGACCTTAAAGCCCGATCTCACCCCAGCCCTCCAATGGATGGGGTCCCACCATCCTTCTGAGGCACCTGCAGTGGGACAGAGCTGCTGTGGGACCCCCGGGAGCCCCCCCAGTGCACTGCCCTCCCCCGGGGCTCTGAGGGCACATCCAAACCTCATCGCATGGATGGGCAGGACAGCCCCACCCTCCGTGCCCCTGTGGGCAGTGCCGGCCCCGGGAATGTGCCTGGCAGCCTCCTGCCATGACCCGGCAGGGCTGGACACCCCGGCTGTGCACAGTCCCTGTGTGGGGTGACCCCCCACACACCGAGACTTTTCCTGACGCCAGAACCTCCCGGAGGGCCACCAAAAGCTCGGCGTTAAAGCTGGAGGTGCCAGCCGAGGATGTCCGTGCTGTCCCCGCCCTGGGGGGCTCGGGGTGCCTGGGGCTGAGGGCTGGGGGCTGCCAGGAGCAGCAGGGATGCAATGGCAGCGCAAGGAGGAGGAGGAGGGAAATTCCCGGGCCATTTCCACCCCACGCTCTGTTTAACGGTGACATTTCCGAGAGCGGCCCCCTCAGCCGAGGGGTGACATCAGAGCGGGGCGGGGGGACGCTGCTGGTGGCCGCGGGGGAGCCCTGCTCCGCGGTGTCCCTTTCCCTGGCCGCTCCCCGCTGCCGGCCGTGGAGCACGCGTGACACCCAGTGGGCCAGCAGCACACTGCACGCGCGGGTCCCTGGGCACGGTGGCGCTGCCGGGGCTGGCACCCGGGTGGGACACGGGCTTCTCCTCGGGGGAGCGGGGTGGCAGCGCCCCATGGGCTCGTAGGGGGGGTTAACCTGGGTGGGGGCACGGCTGGGGAGGCCCCGCAGTCCCCAAGGCTGTGGGGTCTCTCTGGGCTCTCCCCAGGACCTGGTGGGTGCTGTAATTGTGGGGTTCTGGGGTCTCCCCAGGACCTAGTGGGTGCTGTAATTGTGGGGTTCTGGGGTCTCCCCAGGACCTAGTGGGTCCTGTAATTGTGGGGTTTGGGGGTCTCCCCAGGACCTAGTGGGTGACTTTGGGGTTCTGGGGTCTCACTGGGCCTCTGGGGTCTCTCCAGGCACTCAGGGGTCCCTGCAGCACAGAGCTCTGGGTGTCTCCAGATGTCTGGGGGAGTCTTCAGGCATCTGGGGGTCCCTGGTGCCATGGGGCCCTGGGGTCTCCCCAAGGCACTTGGGGGTCCCTGAAGCCCTGAGGTTCTGGAGCCTCTCCAGGCACCCAGGGTCCCAGCAGTTTTGGGGCTCACCAGGGCTCTGGGGTCCCACTGGGGCTCTGGAATCTCTCTAGGATCTCGTCTGTGGACCTTTGGGGTCCCCGGGCTCACTGCAGCCCCGTGGCTCTGGTGGCACTGGGGCTCTGGAGTCTCCCAGGGACCCTCGGGATCTCTGCAGCCCCCAGGCTTTGGGATCTCTCAGAGCCCCTGTGGGCCCTGCAGCCCTGGCACTCTGAGACCACACTCGGCTCCAGGGTACCTGCAGCCTTTGGGATCTCCCCCTGCAGCCCCAGTGTTTGCTGCCTTGCCCCACTCCCAGGTCAGGATCTCGCTTTTCCCTCCTGCCTCTGTCTGTGTCCCTCAAAGACCCTGATGTCCCTCAGGTTTTCACCACCTTCCTGCTCCCCACCAGGACCCTCCTCACCTCCCAGCCCCATCTCCTGCTGCAGCTCTGACCCTTCCTGGCTGCTCCAGCTGGGTTTCTCTGGAACAAGAAACTCTCAGCCCATCTTTTGCTTTTCCTCCTGACTCTCTTGTTCATTCCCTGGGGGATAAACCCTGAAGGAATAAGGATCTGAGGGGAGTCAGGGCTGTGGTTCACTTCAAGCCAAAGCAGAACCGTTTTCTGCAGAAAAAACATTTTCATTCCAATTTGCAAAGGCTTTCAAAGGCAATTCCCAGAGGAGCAGGAGCAGTCAGTGCAGAGGGGATTGGATGCTCTTCTCCAGCTCTGCAGAGGCTGGAAGCTCGTCCTGCTGAGGCATCCAAGCCTTAATGGGGCTGTGAACACCCACATGCAACCCTGCAACCCCACTCCCAGCATGGAAATCCCACATCCGGCTCTGGAGGCTGTAAAGACACCTGGAGGGTTGAAAACGGACCTGGAGAATGAAAAGAGGAGCAGGAGGAGGGAGGGACCAGTGAGACACAGAGAGGACAGAGCTGGGTCCTCCTCACGGTGCCCTAAGCAGGGCCCCTCATGCCCTGACCACAGCAGGCTCCACTCGGGGCATGGAGGGACCCCTGGAGCTGCTGGTGTGACAGTCCCCTGTGTCATCCCCACACAGGGACAGCGTGGCCAGGACCCTGCTGCTCACAGCAGCCCCACCAGCCCAGGGAGTGGAGCTCCAGCCCAGGATGGGATTGATGGGGCTGATGGACGTCAAGGGTACATCACAAAATTGCCTCTGAGATCAAAGAATCATCAGAATCCCAGCGTGGTTTGGGTGAGAAGGGATCTTAAAGCTCATCCCATCCCACCCCTGCCATGGCAGGGCCACCTTCCACTGTCCCAGGCTGCTCCAGCCCCAGTGTCCAGCCTGGCCTTGGGCACTGCCAGGGATCCAGGGGCAGCCACAGCTGCTCTGGGCCCCTGTGCCAGGGCCTGCCCACCCTGCCAGGGAACAATTCCTAATTCCCAATATCCCATCCAGCCCTGCCCTCTGGCAGTGGGAGCCATTCCCTGCGTCCTGCCCCTCCATGCCTTGTCCCCAGTCCCTCTCCAGCTCTCCTGGAGCCCCTTCAGGCCCTGGCAGGGGCTCTGAGCTCTCCCTGGAGCCTTCTCCTCCCCAGGTGAGCACCCCCAGCTCTCCCAGCCTGGCTCCAGAGCAGATCTTGGAACATCTCTGTGGTTTCCTCTGGGCTCACCCAGCAGCTCCACGAGGAGAAGTTAAACAAGATGTGACAGAGGCAGCGTTAACACGAGGCTCCACATTTGCTGCACTCACCTTCCTCCTCCCTTGGGCAGCTCCCAGAGCACCACCCAGATCCAAACCTTGGCTCCAGAAGAGCCAAAGGTGGTGGGGAAGGGGCTGCTTGGAGCCCTGAGTGCTTCCAGGTGGGACACGGGAGCCCAGCTGGGGCTTGCAGGGGGAGGTGGTGCTGAGCAGCAGATCCTGTGTGGCTGTGAGGTTTTCCAGCTCGAGCACTGGCCCCAGGGGCTGCTGCAGAAGGGAAGAAAGAACTTTCCATTCCAGTTTCCAGCTGGAAGGGCCAGGGAGAGAAATGCTGCCATGCCTCAGGTGCAGGGCAGGGCTGGTTCCAGCCCAGTGGTGCTGTGCTGCTCCTTCCCACGGAGCCCGGGGGGCTCCTCCATCCCAGGACTGCAGTGCCTTCCCTTCCCTCACCCCACAGACACCTCTGGAGCTCCAGAGCCCCCATCCTCGGGTCCCACCCACCCCACACACCCACCTGAGACCTCTCCAGGGTGTACCTGGGGGACAGTCCCCCCTGCACAGGGATACACAGCACACTGCAGCAGCGGGGCTGGACAGCTCTGTGTGGGCCATAAATCTGTGTGGCCAGAGCTGCTCCTGCTCCAGGGCCCCAAGGCCACCCCAAGGTCTTTCCAAGGCGGGATCTGCCCCTCCCCTGCACTGCGGCAGCTCCTCAGCGGAGCGTGGCACTGCCAGCCCTGCCCTGGCCAGCCCCACTGGGAAGCAGAGCCCTGGGTGCCCGGGGAGCAGCAGGGCAGCCAGGGGCAGCCCCTGCCCTCTGGGAGCAGCTGCAGCTCTCCAGCTCCCTCCCTGCTCTCCTTTCCAGGAGCTTTCCCCCATTTCTCAGTGCCCAGGGGATGCTGCTTCCAGGGTCAGCACTGGGGCTGTTCCCAAACCTCATCCCAGGGCTGGATGAGGAGGGAATTGCACCCTGGCCTTGCAGGTGAGGCTGATCCAGGGCCAAGGGGTGTGAGAGTGGCACAGCCTCATTCCAGGTGGACTTCAAGAACCCCAAAATTCCAGTCAAGAGAAACCTTGTGGGCATCAACAGGATGGGCAAGATAACCCCAGGTGTCAGGCAGGCTGGGGACCAGGGCTGAGCAGGATCCCAGTGAAAGGTCCTGGATAAGGTTCTGGACAGGAGGATGGACAAATGGACAGCATGAGGAGGATGTGGCCCCCAGCCTGGGTCCTCTGTGCAGCACCAGGGAACCCCAAGCTCTGTGCTCAGAGTGGTTCCCAGTCCAGGGAGCGATGCAGGGGCTGGAAAAGGACCAGCAGATGCTGCTGGCAGGGCTGGAGCTGGGAGAGATCTGGGTTGGGATCCACCAGCATCCTGCAGGTGCCCTGGGGACAGAGGCAGTCCCTCTCAGTAGGACATGGCTGGTACCCAGGGACATGGGACATTGATTGCAGCTCCAGGCTGGGCAGTAGAATTGTTTTGGGGTTTTTTGGGTTTTTTTCCTGGGGAGGTGGCACAGCTGTGGGACTGAGGTGGGCAGGTCCATCCTTGCAGGCTGGGCTGAGCCCTGGGTGACCTTTCCTGTGCTGGTGGCGTCCTGCTCACGGTGGGAGGGGGGCTGGACACCCCCGGGGGTACAGCATGCTGTGAGCCCAGCAAGGGCCACCTCCCCCTCACAAATTCCCTCCCTCCAAGCCCCAGGGCACGCCGAGGGCCGAGGTGCTGTGTCCCCTCCCCGGCCCGCCCTGGCCCGCATCCCGCTGCTGCTGCAGCCGCGGGGCCGAGGCCTCGGCTGCTCCCGGCATCAGCTGATCCCTCCCGGCAGCCGGAGCTGCAAAGTCAGGCACAGAGATTGCCAGGGCGCCGGCGAGGGGACGGCCGGGGTGGCAGCACGGGGGGCTCGGGGGCCGGGGGCAGCTGTGCCCTGAAAGCCGAGCCACCTGCGCGCTGCTACCTGCTGAATAATAGAGGAGCTGCCAGCCAGCCGAGAGAAATGTGATGCTGGTGAGGCAGCCCGGGAAGACATCCGAGCTGCCGGCAGCTGCGATAGCAACTGCAGCCCAGGAGCCTTCCAGCCCCGCGCGGGCTGCCCGCAGCGCTCTGCCCGTCCCGGCTGCCCGCGGCCGGGGCCCGCTGCAGGAGGATGTGAGCTGCGGCGGGCACCCAGCGAGGCAGAGCTCAAGGGCAGGGCTGGGTTTCCCGGGAGGGAGGCAGAGGCTGCCCGCAGGCGGTGCCCGCGCCCGCCCGGGGGGCAGCAGCTCAGCCCCATGTCCAGGGGAGGGGAGATGGTTTACATCCCGGACGACTCCGACTTCAGCTCCTTCAGGGATCAGTGCGAGAGCCTGGAGGGCTGGCACTGCCGCTACAACAAGGCTGGCGTGACCGTGTGGAGCCAGGGCCAGGAGGAGAGCTGCACCGTGCAGAAAATCAAGGTAAGCAGAGCATCCCTGCCCCAGCCGTGTGCCCGGCGGCTCCCGAGGGTCCCTGGGGACTGCCCCGTGCTGGAGCTGCGCGGTCCGGCCTGCCTGGGGGTGTTTCTGTCCCGAATTCCAGGGCTGGCGGGGTTAGACCCCCGAAGGTGCTTCCCGGTGCTCCCGCTGCTCGCCCCGGGGCCGCACCCACCGGGATCCCCTGAGCGCTGCCCCCGGCCCCGACACCCGCGGGAGGGCCCCGGGATCGGGTACACTGCGGACACGGCCCTGCCCGGAGCCCCGGGACACGGACGGGCTCATGGCACGTGTCCCTGGTGTCCCCTCCCCGGCTGTGCCGTCCTGGGGCACATCTCGGGATGAAACCCTGCGGGAGCCCCAGGTGCTGTTTGGGCTTGCCAGGGGCTGGGCCTGGGGTGCTGCAGAGGGACAAGGAGGTGCAGCCACCCCTCAGGTACCTCCACAGCCCCGGTGGCACTGCCAGGTGACCTGGGCACGTCACGGGGCTGGGGGCACACGGTGAGGCCAGGGTGGGCACCACGGGCTTTGGCTTTTCTGGCACCAAGAATCCCGAGCCCTGGGCAGGGACGGAATCTGCCGGGGCGAGGAGAGGCAGGACATCCGACCTGCAGGACAGCCCAGCTGCTGGAGAGCGCTCACCCAGGAGTGCCGGGGGAGGGTCACCACAGCCTCGGGGAGGCGGAGAGGAGGGAACAACGCTCTGGAAGAGGCTCTCCCACCGCTGTCCTGAGCACAGGACACCCAGCAGCACCTCTCCTGCAGCCGGGGCACACGGAGGAGCTGGGGGCACGCTGCTGCTCTGGACAGAGACCCTTCAGGGAGAGGAGCAGGAGCAGCACTCTCAGCAGAGCTGCAGCTGCAATACACATTTCCCTGCTGCCCTGAGCCAGGGCCAGCTTCTGCACCTGGATCAGGGAGATTTAAACCAGCTGGGCATACACAGGATTAAAGGGTGCTGAGGGGTCAGGCCAGCGCCTCTGAAAAGTCCTGGTGACTGCAGCAGGTCCCTGACATCTGGGAAGAGGCAAAAATCACATTCCTCTCCCAAATTAAGCTGCAGGGTGGCACTGTGGGCTGCTGTGTCACCTCCATCCCTGGGAAGGACACAAAGAACACGCTCCTGGAAGCCACATCCTGAAGGAGGAGGGCAGTGGTGACAGCAGCAAGGACCTGCCAAGGGTAAATCCTGCCTGAGCAGCCTGCTTGCCTCTGCAGGGAGAGGTCTGGCTCTGTGGCTGTGGGCAGCTCCAGCCTTGGACAGGGCTTCCCATAGTGGGATCTGGGCTGGAGAGGGGATGTTGCTCAGAGTGAGCAGGACAGGCTGGCAGGAAGCCCTGGAGCCCAGCCCTCAGCCTGGCTGCAGTTCTGCCCCCTGCCACCACTGAGCCCCACAGGGAGGGGACCCCAGGGCAGCCAGGGAGCATCACCCAGCCTGGTTCAGTGCCATAACGGGGATTTTCCCTGCCCTGGAGAGGGCTGGGCATGGTGCAGGGGTTGGCAGTGCCCAGAGCCCCTTCCCAAAATGTGGGATGCAGCCCGAGCTGCACAGCTCCCTTGGGGTCAGGAGAGCCTCAGTCTGTCCATTAACTGAGGGAGTTAATTATCTCGGGTTCCCTGAGCAGCTGGAGCATTGGATTTTTTCCCCCTGAATTCCCTGTGGATGGGTCTGGGCTCTGTGCTTTCCCCATCCCAGCTGCTGTGCCTGGCAGGGCCCTTCATCCGAGGCTGCAGGGGGTGGTGGAAGCAGGACAGGCTTTAGTGGGGAATCTGGGGCTCCAAGACTGCGACAACCGGAGTTCCAGGAGACCCATGAGCTCCACCTGCAGCTGGAAAAAGCAGCAGCACCTCCAGGCCCTGCTGCGAGGGTGCAGCCGGGAGGGAGAGCAGGAGGAGGGGGCTGGGTGCTGCCACCCTCCCGCGGTGCCCTGGGGACTGCAGCCCATCTCCGAGCCCGGCCTGGGCACGAGTCCATCCACACCGGGCCACCAGGGACAGCTTGCCCGAGATTGATGGGACCTGCCGCGCTCAGAGGGCCAGCTCCGCTTACACGGCGCCTCATCAAAGATGCAGGGGCTCTAACGAGGAGCAGATGACATCTCCCTCCTGCCGGCGCTCAGAGGAGCAGGGCGGCCGCCTTCATCAATAATGCACGGCTGGTGCGGCCGGGAGCTCCGCGGCTCCGGTTACAGCCGGGCCCGAGAGCCCCGGGAGCGGCCCCGACACCCCCGGAGCGGGTCCGAAACCCCCCCGGGAGCGGCACCGACACCCCCGGAGCGGGTCCGAAACCCCTGGAGTGGCCCCGACACCCCCCGGGAGCAGACCCCACACCCAAGACCATCACGAAGCACACGGGGACCCCTTTGTTTGCCCAGCAGGGACATGGTGGGGTAGGGGACAGGCATCAGGTCCTGGACCAGCTGGGCCACCAGTGTGAGGGTCGTTGCAGCCCCTCTGGCTGCAGGGGCGGTGGCACCAGGGCTGTCCTGCAGCGGGGCCGTGTCCTGCACCCTCCACGGCACAGGGACACGGGCCAGCCCGAAGTCCTGGTGCCCAGGCGGGCACAGCTCAGGGCTCAGGCTGCCCCCCGCCCCTGTGCCCGCAGACCCGCATCTCCTGCAAGGATGTCCCCGCCGAGACGCTCTATGACGTGCTGCACGACACCCGCTACCGCAGCAAATGGGACTCCAACATGATCGAGACCTACGACATCGGGCGCCTCACCGTCAACGCTGATGTGGGATACTACTCCTGTGAGCACCCCTGAGACCCCCGGGCCCCCTCCCCAGCCCCCAGGAGCGTGTGTGGGGCCGTGGGGTAACAGGATGTGCCCTCAGGGAAGTGCCCGAGCCCCCTGAAGAACCGGGACTTCGTCACGCTGCGCTCCTGGCTGCCCCTGGGCAATGACTACATGATCATCAACTACAGCGTCAAGCACCCGGTGAGCCCGGCTGCCCCAGCCCTGGCAGGGCTGTCTGTGGGCACAGGCAGGGCCGGGCAGGCTCTGGGGTGCCCCGGCTGCCCCAGCCCTGGCAGGGCTGTCTGTGGGCACAGGCAGGGCCGGGCAGGCTCTGAGGGGCCCGGAATCTCCCCACAGAAATACCCGCCCCGGAAGGATTTCGTGAGGGCCGTGTCCCTGCAGACCGGGTACCTGATCAAGGCGAACGGGGACGGTGCCTGCATCCTCTATTACCTCACCCAGGTGGACCCTCGCGGTGAGTGCCCGCCCGGGGGGCAGGGGGCTCACCCAGAGCTCACCCCCTGGCTCTCCATCATGCAGGGGTGCCCACGCCAGCCCTGGGGTGCTGCAGGCTCGTGGTGCCTCCCCCGGGGCTGGCCCTGCTTCCCTGGGTGACGGGGCTTTGGGCTCTTGCAGGGTCGCTGCCGAAGTGGGTGGTGAACCGTGTGTCCCAGTTTGTGGCCCCGAAGGTAAAGAGGGGCATGGGAGTCCTGGGCAGCAGGGATGAGCTGCCCAAATTACCCCGGGTGGGGCATGGTGGGTGACCCCAGGGCCAACAGGGTGGGTGCTGGGTGACCCAGGGCTCTGGGGATGGATGCTGGAAGACCCAGAACTCATGGAATGGTGCCGGGAGACCCAGAGCTCACAGAGCAGGTCCTGGGTGACCCAGAACCTGCAGGACGGGTGCTGGGTGGTCCAGAGCTCACAGCATGGGTCCTGGGTAGTCCAAGGCTCTCGGGATGGGTGCTGGATGACCCAGAGCTTGCAGAAGGGGTGCTGAGCGATCCAGGGCTCACAGGATGGACCCTCGGTGCTGCAGAGCTGCCAGGATGAGCTCTGGGTTTCACAGGGCATGCACTGGGCACCTTGCTGGGGCAGCCAGGCCCCATGCCCTGCCACCACCCCAAACCCTGCCGGGGGGAGCTGTGCCCAGGGCCCAGGGCAGCTCCAGCCCCAGCCCCGCTGTGCCCACAGGCCATGAAGAAGATCTACAAGGCCGGGCTGAAGTACCCGGAGTGGAAGCGCCGGCACGACCCCGAGTACAAGCCCTGGGTGTACCCCGAGCAGAACACGCTGCCCAGCGTGAGCCTGGCCGAGCTGTCCGTGCAGCACGCCGATTCCCTGGAGAACATCGACGAGACCGGCCTGCCCGAGGAGCACCTGAGCACCAGTGACCACGAGGCCTGAGCCCTCGGCCAGGGAATGCCCTCAGCACCGAGGCTTGGCACCCAGGGGGCACAGCTGGGAATTTGGCTCCCTGCTTCCCAATAGTCACATCTGCTCTCCCAAGTCCTTCATCATTGACCCCCTCCCTGCCCAGGCAGCGGGGATCTGTCCCGTGGGATCTGTGCAACTGGCACTGGGAAGAGGCAGGGTGGGCACCCTGGTGGCCCCTGTGCCCATGGAGGTGTCCCTGTAGGAGACGGAGCTGGCAGGAGGTGTCCAAGAGAGGCTGGGCAGGAGCTTTCCAGGACCAGGATATGGCTCTGCCACTGTAAGACCCTAAAAGGCCCAGGAGTGGGGGGTCTGTGAGGGTCCTGCCCAGGCTTTGCAGCAGCACAAGGTTTGGATTGACCCCGCCTGGCCTGAGGTCCAGCTCTGCCAAGCCCGAGTCAGGCTGTGCCCGCTCCAGCCCTCCATGCCCCTCCAGGCTTAGTGTGACCCCCCCATTCCAGGGAGCCCTCCCAGGCCCTCCTGAGCTCCAGGCTCACCTCTGCAGGTTGGCTCTAGCCCAGCAGGCTCTGGGGACCCCTTCCCCTCGTGGTTTGTCCTGGCAGGGGGGTCCTGGGCCACCTGTGTCCCCACTCTCCCCGTGTTTGCTGCTGCTGTGGTTCCTGGCACAATAAAGGGGTTGGTGTGTGTGAGAGCTCACGGGGCTGGCACAGGGTGGGGAGGGGGTGGCACGGAGCCCACCCAGAGGCATCCAGCTCAGAGCGGGACAGGAGGGCCCATCCACACGGCCCCAGCGCCCTGGGGTGACCCTCAGCAGGGACAGAAGTGGCCACAGCAGGACAGGATGGAGGGATGCTGGGCTCTGCACCCCACGGGAGCGTGTGTGGGCAGGGGGCAGCTTCCACCAGACAACGGGAAGTTGGTCTAGACAGGCACTGCCGTGGGAATGCGCTGACAAATGAGGGATTTTCCACCCACTCCTCGCCCCCACCCTGCGAAGCAGCTGCTGGGCTCCGTCCCCAGCTGGGTTTGAGCCTGATCTCTGCAAGGTCAGTGCAAATGGGGATGTCACTGCAGGTTTTGGGGTCCCTCTGACCCAGCTTCACCCCCCTGGTCCCCCTCCAGAGCTGCCCTGTGAGTGCTTCCCCCACACCTGGAGCTTTTCTCCACCCCAGCATCTCAGGCGTGGATGCCTGCTGTCCCCCTTCAGCCACCCTGTTAGGTCACAAATGTCCCCTGGGCTGCCTCGGGGGACATCACACACACACAGTGCTGGGAAGGGGACAGCAGGGTCTGGGATCCGGGGCTTTGCAGCTGGGCTGGCTGCTCAGAAGCCCCCTCTGCAAGGGTAATGTGGAAAGCAGGGGCAGGGGATGTGCAGCTCGCACCTGGCAGCACAAGGTTGCTCCCTCCCTCTCCCCGTGCTGCTCCCACCCCTGGCAGCAGATGGGGATTATTTTACCTGTTAAAAGACAAAACCCAGCCCCAAACTGCCCCAAAAGCACTCTGGCAGAGTGGAAAATCACCCCTGGGTGCTGCTGCGATGGGGCAGAGCCCGCTGGCACCCCGAGCCCGGCGGGTGCTGGGGTGCAGAGCCTTCCCCTGCGGAAGGAGCCTCATCCCTTGGCATTCCCGGATGTTTCCCCGCGGGATCCAGACTGCAGCCCTGCCGGGGTTATTTTTAGCCAGACCTTCGTGGGAGTCAGGTCTGAGGAGCTGCAGCCTGAGCACCGAGAGCCCGGCAGGGAGCCCCAGGGACAGCTGTGGCAGGCTGGGTGCCACCGCAGCCGGGCTGTGTCCCGAAACTGGGATGGCACAGGCAGTGTCCCTGTCACTGTCCGCATCCAGCCCCGGCTCTAGGAGAGCTCCCGGCCCCCAGAATGAGCCCGGGTGGAACTGGGGGGGCACCGTGGGGCGGCAGCAGCCCCAGCGCGGTGATTTCTCTTGGAACGATGCGGGTTTCCTGCGGCACAAACAGGAAAGGGACCGGCCACCGGCATCCCGAGGGCGCGGGCGGCGTGCCGGGGGCGCGGAGCCCCCCGGGGGCCCTCGCTGGGATTTTGGGGGCGCGGGTGGCCCAGGGCCCGGTGGGACGAGGGCAGGACACGCGGGGGCTGCGGCCCCGCACGAGAGCCCAGCTGGGCGCTTTTCCTGGCCGGCTCCGAGCGCAGAGGTTGGAAAGGAAACGGGAAGCTGCTGCTGGACGGGAGATTAGCGCGGAGGCAGTGATGTCAGCCGCCCCTGATGGATCGGGGCAGCGGCAGCGTGCCACGGGCCCCAGCTGGCCACACACCGTGTCAAACGTGCCCCTGCTGGGGCAGGATGTGACTCCGTCCTGGATCCCGTGATTTGTGACTCCTGAGCTCATTGATAGGTCTCGAGCAGCTTTAGGCCCCTCCACCCAACCAGGACAGCGAGGAGCCCCCCCAGCAGCCTCATGGAGTGGCCTTGAGCAGGGCTTTTGCCTGGAGAGGTCGAGCAGATTTCCAAGACTCCAGTTTCCTCCTCCCCAATCCCTCCCATGGGCTCAGCTCTCTGCCGTGCCCTGCAAACCCTCAGGGCCAGTCCCAGCCCCACATTTCCAGCTGTCCAGTGTGATATTTCCTCTCTAGGGATGAGCCTTGAGCGTCCCTCACCCTGTCCTGCCCCCCAGAGATGCTCCCACCATCACCCCACACATGAACTGGGAGGGTGGGGCTGAAGGTGAAACAAAACCGGGCCCAGGGTGGGGATGGATGGAGGATGGATGGATGGATGGATGGATGGATGGATGGATGGATGGATGGAGGATGGATGGATGGATGGATGGATGGATGATGGATGGATGATGGATGGATGGATGGATGGATGGATGGACGGACACCTGGACACAGGAATCTTGAGGGACAGTGTCATCCTGGGTACTGCCAAGAGAAGGATCAAAAGGGCCTTCATGCTGGAAGGATCCATCCTTCACGTTGATGTTTGCTTCCTGCAGCCCCTGCCAGCTTCTTCTCAAAGCCCAATCCATCCCCAGGGGGTTTTCTGGTCCTGCCCATCTTCCCCCTCCTGAGAGCAGGCACGGCCTTCCTGCTCTGTGACCATGGCAGGACAGGGCCCTGTGCCTCTGCCCGAGCATGCTGCGGCCTAGATGTAAAGAAATAGAAATACAAATAATTAAATATAAATATAAATATAAATATAAATATAAATATAAATATAAATATAAATATAAATATAAATATAAACATAAATATAAATATATATAAATCCCACCAGCAGGCTGGCAAACACTGGGAGCAAGCAGAGGCTTTGAAACCTGCTCTGCAAAACATGGGCTGATAGGCAGCCCTGGAGAAACATCCCATCCCTGTGCCCTGCCCCGGTGCCCTGCCGTGCCCTGCTGCCCTCCCTGTGCCAGCTCTGGGGCTCCGGGGTGGTCCCATGGCAGGGGAAGGAGCACTTCCCCTTGGGAACCAGGTGCTTTAGCAGGGGTTCCTCCTGCCAAGGGAACAGAGCCCCAAACCCAGGAATTAATTCGGTGACTGTGGAGGGAGAAGGGAGCATGGAGAAGGTTTTCTGCACCAAGCTGCCCTGGCAGCAGCCAGCAGGGGCTGGGAGCTAGACCCTGCCCTTGGGCACATCAACCCTGCCAGGACAGGGACCTGCCATCATGAGGATGTCCCAGGGACATTTTCCTCCCCTGCTGCCCATCCCTGCCCTCCTGGCATCAGGGAGGAGCACTGCTCCCAGCAGAAGGTTCTGGGGGTTCCAAAAAGCACTGCCAGCAGGTCAGGGGTGATCCTGCCCTTGGAGTGTCCCTGCCTGGGGACACTGCAGAAGCCTCTGGACACAATGCTGTGCCCTGAGCTCTGTCTGAGCAGCGAGTTTGGGCCAGAGGAGCCGCTGTGGATCCTTGCAGCCTGACCCTGCCCAGGGTTCTGCCTGTGCAGGGGCTGCAGGTGCCAGTCTGTGCTCACTGCTGCAACGCCTGCAGCACAGCAGGACAGAGATGGTGACAGATCCGTGCTCTGTCCCTCCCAGCCACACCGCAGACCTCAGCAGCCTTCCCAAGAATAGCAGGGCCCAACAGCTTCCTCTGCAAGGCAGGGGGGTGGCACGGTCTGCCCTGCAGGGCCGCAGGGTCCCGGCACAGCCTGAGGGTCCCCTTGCACCCCGAGGGTCTCCACACCCCACCCACAAGGGGGTCCGTGGGGTCACCCGTGCCCAGGGATTTGTCACTCCCTGCTGGAGCAGCTGCTGGGGAAGGGAGAGGAAGCCAAAAGCCTTGCCAGGCTCGTGCTGAATTGTGCTTCTGCTTTGCAGCAGCAGCCTGGGGTGAGTGCCCTCGCCCTGAACTGCAGGGGGTTTATGGGGTGGCCCTGCCACACCACCTCACAATGGCTTTGGGGGCACTGCTGGGGTGGGGAAGGACCTGCTGGACATGGAGCAAGGGAGTGCTCAGCTCTGGGCGCTCACAGGGCAGGGAGAGGTTATCAGCCATGGCATCAGGAGCGAGACATCAGCCTTGACACGCTCAGGGTTGGGTAAGAGCTGAGCTGGACCAACAGCCAGCCCTGCTCTTGCAAGAGGAGTTGTGTTAAAAGCAGCTGGGCCAGGCTGTGCTGAAAGCTCGGGCTCCTGGCAGCACAGAATCCCACTGAGTGTCCCTCTCCCACGCCAGCCCCTGCTGCCATCCTGCCCCTCAGCTCACTCCCCATCCCCGCTCCCCATCCCCTGCCCACAGGGATGAGGGGCTGCATTCCTGGCACCCCCACAGCACAAAGGTTTTCATCTTCCCAAAATTTCACCCACGCAGCCCCCCAGGTGCCAGCCCTCCCATTCCCTACGTCAGCATGAATATTTTAGCCTGTTTTCCTCAGTTTGGTCCCAAGGAAGGCAAAGCCGGGCTGAGGGACAGGACCCAGCACAGCCGGGACAGCGTCACGCCTGGGAAGGGACAGGACAGAGGGTGGGACAGGGATGGGGACCAGAGGGCTGGCCTGGAGGAGGGACCGGCAGTGGGAGGCGCAGGCTGGGTGCTGCGGAGCCCGCAGCAGTTCCTGCACGGGACTGCCTTGGCATCCCCCCGGAGCCCACAGGACACTGGCACCGTGCTGCTCCGCCGGAGCGGCCCCGGGGGCTGCGGGCCGCCACAGGTGAGGGACAACCGCGGGCTGGCAGGACATGGACGGGACAGATGTGGGGACGGTGGGGAAGGGCCAGGACTGGGACAGTGCGTGCTCCCTGTGCCAGCTGGGCATGGGCTTTTAGGCACAGGGATGGTGCCCACCTGCCCGTGAAGTGTCACTGCCCATGCCCCGAGCTGCCCCAAAGGGCCACACCACAACATGGTGCCCGGCACGGCCCCAGAGCCCCGGGAACGGGGAGGTCAGGAGCCATCTCCTCACTGGAGAAGCCCCAGGCAGGGCAGGCACAGGGCAGAGCCACCCGCAGATCCCTCAGGGCGATAAAGGCATGAAAAAGGGGGAAATTGCCCCATTTCGGCCCCAGCTGCTGGTCAGAAGTGGGTACAGCCCTTTAACCCTGGGGCACAGACACCCGGCCCACATCGCTGTGGCACATCGTGCCCTGCCCTGCCTTTTCTGTGTGGCACATCGTGCCCTGCCCTGCCTTTTCTGTGTGGCACATCGTGCCCTGCCCTGCCTTTTCCGTGGGTCCTACACGGCCTGACAGCCGCCCTGTCCCCCTGTCCTGCTCCCGTGTCCCAGCCCCTGCTGTGGCTGTCCCTCCTCCTCGCTGACAGCGTCCCCCACGTGCTCGCGGGGACACCGCAGCCTCCCGGGCACTTCCCCCGGCACCCACGCAGCCCGGGCCGGGCAGGCGGGGCCGGGCAGCGGGGCCGTGCCGTGCCGTGCTGGGCTCGGGGGCTCAGCCCGGCTCTCCCGGGCCGGTTTTGGGACGCGGCTGCTGCGGGAGGGGGCAGGGGATGCGTGGGAGCGTGCAGGCAGCAGGAAGGAAGCCTGCGCCGAACAATAGGGGGAAATGGAGGAACTGGAAAAAGACCCAGTGGCAGCACAGTCAGCACAGATGGTTTAGTGCGGAGCTGCGTGATTCATGGGAAAAAGGCCCTCAGCAGGCTCTGTCCCGGGCTGTGCTGGCGAATCACCTCGGGCTGAGCGTCCCTGGTGGCAGCGAGCCTGGCC